AAGGAAGGTTGGGCAATCCTACTTCCGTAGTGATACTGCCTCGGAAACCCAAGGAGGGGTCGCTATGAGTCGGGGCCGACTCGACGGCACATAACAACACAACAACAACAACAATATTTTTTAACATTGGTAAAATTTCCTAACAATGACAGCTATGCAACAGAGGAACAAATATCTCAGGAGTTGGTTATCTTTGAAATAACCACAGTTTAAAAGCTGCACACAAAATGAAACTCATTGCCGTCGAATTGGATCCGACTCATAACGACCCCTCCTTGGGTTTCTGTGGAGTAGATTGCCCAACCTTCCTTCCGAGGAGGGGCTGGTGGGTGTGAACCACCAGCCTTCTGGTTAGCAGTCAAATGCCTTAGGCACTATGCCACCAGAGCTCCCTTAAAAGCTGCAAGGGACCTTGAATGACTTCTCAATCTTTTTTGTGCCATAGCGTGCCCAGAAAATGACAGCACATTGCGTGAACTGAAGAAGCTTTGGTGACTAACACGTTGCTTAATGGAAAAAAAAAAAAAAAGTGTATGGGGTCTGTCATGGATTGAATTGTGTCCCCAAAAAACATGTGTCAACTTGGCTGAGCCATGATTCTCAGTGGTTTGATAGCTATGTAATGATGTAACCATCCCCCCATGATGTAATATGATGTAAGCAGCCGATTGTAAGGGGATTAATGTGGGATGCAACACCCTTACTCAGGTCACAGCCCTGATCCAATGTAAGAGGAGTTTCTCTGGTGTATGGCCTGCATCACCTTTTGTCTTACAAGAGACAGGAAGGAGAGAGAAAGGAGCAGAGAAGGAGGGACCTACTACCACCAAGAAAGAGGAGGTGGGAGTGGAGCCTGTCCTTTGGACCCAGGGCCCTTGTGCTGGGAACCTCCTAGATCCAGGGAAAGATTGATGTCAAGACAAAAGGAGATCTCCAGGGAACCCCGGGCTCGCAGATGTTGAAAGGAAAGAACAGAGCCAACAGAGAAACACTTCTCTAGAGCAAACACACTGAATTTGGACTGTGGCCTCTTATCCTGTGAGAAAATAAATTTGTTTGTTAAAGCTATCCATTTGAATTTATTATAGCAGCACTAAATAACTAAGGGTCTTTATATTACATAATTCTAAGAAAAATAAAATACGAAGTATTAAGACACTATAAGCTGAGCAAATGATCTAAGAAGCCAAACTATATGAAGTGGAAAGCAGTATCAGGATTGGAGGAAGACTCATTAACAACCTTTGATGTGCAGACGACACAACTTTGCTTGCTGAAAGTGAAAATAATTTGAAGAATTGACTGATGAAGACTAAAGACTACACTCTGCACTATGGATTACACCTCAACATGAAGAAAACAAAAATCCTCACAACTGGACCAATAAGCAGCATCATGGTAAATGGAGAAAAGATTGAAGATGTCAAGGATTCCATATTACTTGGATCCACAATCAGCATCCATAGAAGCAGCAGTCAAAGAAGCAGATGTTGTATTGCACTGGGAAAATCTGTCGCAAAAGACCTCTTTAAAGTGCTGAAGGAAAAACAAAGATGTCTCTTTGAAGACTAAAGTGCACCTAACCCAAGCCATGGTGTTTTCAGTTGCTTCATGTGCATGTGAAAGTGAGACAGTGAGTAAGGAAGACTGAAGAAGAGTTGATGCTTTTGAGTTGTGGTGTTGGCAAAGAATGCTGAAAGTACCATGGACTGCCAGAACTAACAAATTTGCCCTGGAAGAAGTGCAGCCAGAATGCTCCTTGGAAGTGAGAATGGCCAGACTTCATCTCACCTACTTTGGTCATGTTGTCAAAAGGGACCATTCTCTGGAGAAGGATATCATGCTTGGTAAAGTGGAGGGTCAATGAAAAAGGGGAAGGCCCTCAAGGAGATGGATTGGCACAGTGGCTGCAACAATGTGTTTAGGTATAGCAAGGATTGTGAGGCTGGCACAGGACCAGACAGTGTTTTGTTCTGTTGTACATACAGCACCTAGCAAGAAGAAGAATTCTTTTCCAGTAAAATAAATGCGGTATCAAAATCACATCAATACCTGTACCCACACTCTTAGTGCTTAGGCTGGGAAAGCTTTGATGTAGTCCACCACTCATTTGCAGAGGGAGAAACTGAATTTTATAAAGGGAATCTTCTGGGTCAAGATCTTAATGCCAGTTCTGGGAGTAGAACTTCAGGCTTCAGACGGCTAGTAAAATCTCGTTCCCACTCATCCGCCGCTCTAAACGGTTTACGCAGTATCTTTGAATTGAGATTCCGCAGACGCGCAGCACCTGCCACCTTGTCTACAGGATAGTGCGGACTGCACAGCTACCCAGTATCCTCCTTGTAAAAGTGTTACGTATTAGTCCTTCGGGTCATCACCACCATACGCCAGTTAGTGCCGGGTCGTGGTGAGGCGGCCGCGTCCCCTCCAGCAGTCAGACATCCGCCCTATTGTGAACCGAAAACTGTGGTCCAGGGGCAAAGGAGGCTCTGTAGCGCCCTCTGGAGGCCACGGCCTCCGAAGGCAAGCCGGGCTGTCATTTTCCTTGACCATCCCTTGGGTTCCACCCCTGTCTTTGCAGTCCCGCCCACCGGGGAGTCGCTACAGCGCCTGCGCTGATTCGCTGCTCTCCCCCTCCCCCGTTTCTCAACCGGAAGTTAACTGGGTTCCCATAGTGCTTCGCGAGTGGCGGGCATGATAACAAACTCCGGAGGGTCCCACGCGGGCAGGAATTGTCACTGTTGGGGTTGTTTTATCGTGCCAGGAGACTCTACGAGATTGAAGCCCGCTCTCTGAGTTGTCCGCAAGTCCGATGGCGCTTCTCCGGGGCGTGTGGGGCGTGCTGAGTGCTCTGGGCAAGTCCGGAGCAGAGCTGTGCGCGGGCTGTGGAAATCGACTGTGCTTTCCGTTCAGGTAGGACCGCTCTTCTGCGCCTCAGTAGGTGGCAGGGCCGGCGACGTCCCAGGGCTGCAGTGTGGACACTTCCGTCCACTTTCTGCCCCTTCTAAGAGCGTCAGTTTCATCCTTGTCCTTGAATTCAGACCTCGATCTTGCCAAGGACAGTGGCTTTGAAATCAGGCCTTTCTCCATTAGTACCCTGTGCCTTGCTTCCTTCCGTCTTCCGCCCCTCCTTCACCCACGTTTTCCCAGGGTCCATTCCCTGAGGACTTGTTCAGTGTTCTCTGCGAAGTCGCGCCGAGAATGTCGCGCCACCATCTGGGCGTTGAGGCGCAGGACCCGGTAACTGGAGAGTATGTGTTTTCCTTTACTTTGTAGGGCGTAATTGCTTGAAATTCAGTTTAGAGTTTCCCCCTGGTTAGGACAGGATTTTAAATCAGACATTTTTGTTGACCATGTTAGATAGCATCTTAATGATACCTTATTTGGAATCTGTGTTTATATACATATAATTAGAGGCAAATAACCTAACATTAATTTTTTTATGTGTGTGCAGTTTTATGTGCGTACCGAGATGGTTTTCATCCACATTGAGTGGTTATCCAAAGAAGCCTTTGAGCTCATACCTTCGATTCTCTACAGAACAGTTACCCATATTTAAAGCTCAGAACCCAGGTAAGGAGTTTGGAGGATTGTTGCTCTTCTCTGATGTACAAATAAAACGGACGCTAAGCATTTAAACCGCAAACCTGATTTGCATTTAACAAAGCAACCAGTGAATGCAGAAATAGAAATAAATCGTTTACTCATTCTTTGTTTGATGGTCTGTAAAATAAAAAGCATAATACTTTATGCCAGGTAGAAATGCTTTAAATATAAATGAGAAATAATAAAAATATTTTTAAAATAGCATATAGAGTGGAAAGCACCCTGTGAAGAGAATGAAAACCTGAGTTTTGGGCCTAATGGCTATTGAACGAGAGGATCACTGGTGAATTGTTTTATTTCTTGCTTAGCTCTCTTCTGCATCAGGGAATTATTAATGAAGTTGCGTGGAATAATTTGTGGAAAAGTGTTTAAACTGTAAAACTCTTTGCAAATTACTGTTAATTTAAGAGCTTTTCCATGGAAAATAAATTCTTTTCTTGAATTTCTTGAAAAAGATTACCAGATGTTTGTTGAATCCCTAGCAAGGCTGTGGAACCTTTATTTTGGAACATAGTAGTAAAGATAATCACTAAATAATCATAGAGCACTTGTGAAAATCTAATGAGCCATAATAAAAATTCTCACATTATGGATATAAAGAATTCATTTAAGAGACATGCCTAAGTATTCATTCATGTTTTGTAAAATGTAAGAGTTGGGACTAGCAAATGGTTTGTTACTCAAACTCCAGCTAGTTAAGACTTGAGGTAGGGAAGGGAAGTTATGGGTTGATTTTAGAGTAATTTCATGTTTTCAATGGTATTTCAGAAATTGAAGTACAAGGTAGTGATACACGAATCCTGACTATATTTTATTGTTTAATAAGATTTTATAAACTTAATAATTCCTGACTTTAAAAATGCTTCATTAAAATAGAAACTAAACACCTAAATAATTGATTATCTGCTACTTGAACTTGTAATCAATTTCAGGAGACTTTCTGGTAGTGTGTGATATATTTCTCAATCATTAGATAAGTGACTTGGAAAAAATGTTCATAATGTTTAAATTAGCTGGATAATAAAAAGTTAAATCATTGTATTATGTGGTGTGTAGTGTAGAAATATCTTTAATATAACTTGTAGAGCTAATGAATTATGTTTTTCTGGAAGTCTTTAGAAATTAATCTTGAAGCAGGTAAAATTGTGACTTTTTTTCCTAATCCATAGAAGCGAGAAATTCAGAACTAATTAAGAAAATTGCCCAGATATGGAGGGAACTTCCTGATTCAGAGAAAAAAGTAAGCACGTAGGTTTTCTTTTTCTTTTTTCCAAATTTTATTTATTTATAGTTGTTACTGTTGAGGATACATTTAGCAAAACATACATCGATTCTATTGTTTCTGCATGTACAGTTCAGTGACGTTAATTAAATTTTTTGAGGTACAACCATTCTCACTTTTCATTTCTGAGTTCTTTCCCCAATAACAAATCCATTGGCCCCTAAAGTTTCTGATCTTTTGAGTTGCTATTGACGATTTCATCTCAGGTAGTTCTTAAAAGAGCATAATGCTCAACGCTGACTTTTTTTTTTTTACTAATTAAGCTAAACTATTGTTTGTTTTTGAGAAGACTTTGGGATATTTTTTGGTTTAAGGTTTAAAGATGATCTCAGGGCAGTAGTTTCAGGGGTTCCTTCAACCGTCATGGGCCTAAGAAGTCAAGTCCATGAGAATTTAAAATTCTGGTCTGCATTTCCCCCTTTCTGATCAAGATTCTTCTATAGAATCTTTGATCAAAATGTTTAGTAATGGCAGCCAGGTACCGTCTTGTGGTCTCATGGCAAAGGAGGCATTTGTTCATGGCAGCAATTGGCCACACGTTCCATTTCCTCCTCTTATGCTGACTCTCCATCTTCCTTTGATGCTGTAGGCAAACAGAACAATTGTTGTGCCTTGGATGGCTGTTTGCAAGCTTTTAAGACCCTAGGCACTGTGCAACGAAAGAGAAGGTAGAACAGAAGCAATAAAAATGTTATTCAGCCAGGTAACTAAGATGTCCCATGAAACTATGACCCTAAACCTCCAAACCAAGGAACCACATCCCAAGAGATTATGTTTTACATAGGTAGCCTCAGTTGGAGCTCTTTTTTTTTTTTTTTTTTCCGTCATCATAAGTATTCCTAGCACATAATTTTTGCCAGTTCACCTTTTTACAGGTGTATAACTTACGGCGCTTATTGTATTTGGCTGTTCAAACCTACCTTTAATACGATTTTTCCATCACCATAAACCAAAACTCGGTACTCCATGAGCAATAATAACCCCCTTGCCCTTTCCCCCTTTCTCCTACCACTGGTAACCACTGATAAACTTTGGTCACTATACATTTGTCTTTTCTCGTCATTTTATATAAATGAAGTCATAAAATATTTGTCCTTTTATGATTGACTTATTTCACTGAGCATAATTTCTTCATGTTCTGTCTATATGGTAGCATATATTGGCTGAGTAGTATTCCATCATATGTATTTATGTACCACATTTTGTTTGTCTATTCATCTGTTGGGAGCTCTGGTGGCATAGTGCCTAAGGCATATGACTGCTAACCAGAAGGCTGGCGGTTCAAACACACCAGCCACTCCCTGGAAGGAAGGTTCGGCAGTCTACTTCCATAGAGACACTGCCTTGGAAATCCAAGGAGGGGTTGCTATGAGTCAGATTTGGCTTGAAGGCAGTGCGTGCATGTATTCATTTATTGATAGCATTTGGGTTGTGTGAAAAGGGTGTGGGGTTGGCAATGTCTGACCTCCAACTTCAGAAAGTGGTAGGAGGACCAAGATCAACAGCCCAAAGCTGATTCCTTTGAGGCAGAGGATCAGATGTGCCACCACCCTCTGTCCTTTTTACCAATTCTGACACCAACTGTCCCTCCCAACAGCACTCTGTTTCTTTTCTGGGCTTGATAATTTGTTGCAGTGGCCACACAGAACTCATAGACAGTAGTCATGATTATGGGATTTACTAGGGATGTAACAGGTTACAATTCACGATTAGAAACAAGGCAGGATAGAGTTCTTCAGTCAGGACAGCTTCTTAGCCCTGTCACAGGTACGCTTCTCTCTGGTCTAAGTCTCTGCCCTGCTCGGGCAAATATTGAAAGCTGTGGCCCACAAATGCCCAGAGAGGCACCCCACTTTGCCAGCAAACTCTTGTCCAGAGGCATTCATCTTTCTTGCTCCATGGGCTGGGAGGCCCGTCACTATGTCTCTTGCAGTCTGTTGATTCTGTTGCTGCTGTTTCTCTGCTGCTGCTTGCCATCCCTCCTCATCTCAGCAAAATGTTAAAGCTCTGTCTCTGTCTCCTGGGTTGAGGAGGTCCAGCAGCAGGGATCTTGGGACCAAGAATGAGCTTCACTCCTGGTTCTTCTTTCTTGATGGTAGTGAGCACTTCCTTTTCACCTTAGAGATGGCTCATTTAAGCCTAGTGAGATGGCAGAACTGACCAATACCCATGTTAGGGTTCCATACACCTTAATTGCATGGTCCCGGTCCCACTCCCACAGGGGTGCCATGTACCTCATTTATATTATTAATAAGCTGTCTAATCCCCTTGGTGGGCCACAAGCACCTCACATTTGCATATTCCCCCCAGTCATTTGGTGGGAGTTACAAAAACTATGGCTAAATGGCCATGTTAAGTAATTCACTGTACTACTGGTAGTTTCCATCTTTTGGTTATTGTAAATAGTGCTGCACTGAACATGGGTGTACAAGTCTCTGAATCTCTGTTTTGAAGACTTGGGTCTCTACCTAAGTGGAATTGCTGAGTCATACGGTAGTTCTATTTTTCCTTAAAATGGAACTGCCACACTTTTCCACAGCAGCTGTACCATTTTATATTCCCATCAGCAATGAAGATTCCCCATATCTTCACCAATATTTGTTACTTTCCTTTCTTCTTTTTTTAAGATTTTAGTCATCCTAGTGGGAGTGAAATGGTATCTCATTGTGGTTTTTTTACATCTCTGATGGCTAATGACACTGAGCATCTTTTCATGTGTTTGGTGGCCACTTGATAAATCTCTTCAGTGAAATACCTGTGCAGATCCTGTGCCCATCTTATGATTGGGTAGTCTTGGGTGTTAAAGTTTTATGTATATTTTGTTTTATTAGATTTTTATCAGATGTGGTTTCTGAAGATATTCTCTCACATGGTATCTTGTCTTTTCACTGTTTTAGTCAAGCCTTTTGATTAATAACAGTTTTTTATTTTTATGAGGACTTTTTTTTTTGTCTTTTGCTGTTTGTGCTTTTGTTACCATGTTATGTTAAAAGCTAGACCTGACAGTGTTGTGAAAATTGTATTCCATGCAGAAAAATGAAACAGGATCTATGCCTTACATCACACAAAAACAAATTCAAAATGGACTAAGGACCTAAGTGTGCAAACTAAAACTATAAAATTCTTAGAAGAAAATGCATTTTCGCAACACTGTGTATTGATGAGACTCTTTATCCATTCAATGGACTTAGCATCCTTTTTAAAAATCAGTTAACCATAGATGAGTTGTTTTATCTTTGGATTCTCAATTCTGTTCTGTTGGTCTGTGGTTGTATAGGTTTTCAACTTTGCTGACCTCTATTTAGGGACAATTGTAATGTCTTTTAAAGGACTGGATGACCCAGACTTCTTTCTAACATCTGTTTTCTTCAAAGGAACTTTATATCTTTTGATCCATGTAAATGATGAAAATATGGATTTTGAGAATGAAGGTGAATGATTAGCAGCAACTTGAAATTGGAGGCTGATTACTAGACTCTCACCTTGTTTAGCATGCATATGAAAAATGCATGGTTTTTATGCATACACATATGATCCTAGAGCACATTTTTCTATCTGGTGGTTTAATCTATTTCAAGCTCTGCAGTTGTCTTTCTCTAGCAGTTTTGCTGTGTTAAATTTCCCAACAATGGTTTGTTGATAGTTTATTTTTATTTTTATTTATAGACGTATGAAGACGCTTACAGGGCAGACTGGCAGGCATACAGAGAAGAGATAAAAAGAATTCAAGAACAGCTAACTCCAAGTCAGATCATATGTATGGAAAAAGAAATCCAGCAAAAACGTTTAAAAAGGAAAGCATTAATAAAAAAGAGAGTGAGTATCATTGAAATGTTCTTTTCCTTTGGCAGTGAACTGAAATTTGTATAATTTTGAGTATAGGTAGGTTTCTCTTATTTTGATAATATGTATAGATGTTTGGTAGAAAATCATTAAATGTATTCCAGTTAGACAAAAATAGGATAGTTTCTTACATCTGCTGTTAGAACGACTGCCATTGAGCCTGCCTTAAGCACTCTTGTTGCTACTTTTGGATGTAACCAAATTTAAGATATCCATGTTGTAGCAGGTTAAGGTTAATAAGGATCCTTAGTGGTGCAAACAGTTAAGCACTCTATGGTAACTGAAAGGAAGGTGGTTCCAACCCACCTTGCAGCTCCACAGGAGAAAGACCTGGCCATGTGCTCCTGTAAAGATTATAATCAAGAAAACCCTGTGGAGCAGTTCTACTGTATTACATGGGCACACCATGAGTCAGAAACAACTCGTAGCACCTAATAACAATAACAAGCTACTAATCCAAATAAATTGCATTGTTTTCAATAGAAACAGTATTAGTTGTGAGATGGTCAGCTTGCTAGTCTAGTCCATATATTATATAAAATGGTCATCAGAGTTAATACCAGCCTTGTAAAAGAGATAATAAGATACCGCTCCCAGATCCTAATGTCCTAGCATCAGGATTGAAGACAGCCAGTGTCAGGTCAGTGGTAGTGACCTAAGAATTGCTGATCCAATTAATAAAAGGGAGCTAGAAGAGTGAGTAATAGGGCCTCTTCCTCCTTAATGTTCCCAGCCAGTGCTGAGTTGAGAGAACCAGAAATGAGGAGTGGGGCAGATAAAAGGAGTTTCTCTTTGCATTCTGTGATGGTTATGTTTGTATGTCAACTTGGCTAGGCCTGGTTGAGTGGCTGGGCGGCTGGATGTAGTATTCCCCATGATGAGACTGGTGATCAGCTCCATGGTGGAATCTACTGGGAGCAGCTGAGTAGATGCCTTGGGTATGTGGTCTGCTTCCTGTATATAAAGAAAAGCTTTGAGAATGGTCTTTAGCTTTTGGCACACTTGGACCCTGCATGTAGCTGTGTCATTGCTCGGCATCCTGCTATGCTCTGCTGACCTTGGGACTTACAGTGGATTTAAGTTAATGGCCTGCTGTGTGGATTGGTAACATCGGGACTGTGCCTTTTTACTTGTCAGCCTTGGGGCTTCTCAGCCTCAGCAGCCAACAGCTGTCTGAGTGAAGAAATGCCTCTAGCTCTAGTGGCCTGGGAGCAGGAGGCAGAGTGGACCCAAAGGTTGAGGGGCTTTCACCCAGCCCCGAGAGCCTGGCACCTTGAACTTGGACTTAAAGCCTCCAAATTTTAAGAATAAACTCCTGTTTGTTAAGGCCATCGGGACTGTGCCCTTTTACTTGTCAACCTTGGGCTTGTCAGTCTTGGCAGCCAACAGCTGTCTGAGTGAAGAAAAGCCTCCAGCTTCAGTGGGCTGGGAGCAGGAAGAAGAGTTGAAGCCCAAGGTTGAGGGGCTTTCACTTAGCCCCTAGAGCCTAGCATTTTGAACTTGGACTTAAAGCCTCCAAATTGTAAGAATAAACCATTTGTTCAAGCCATCCCATTTGTGGTATATTCCTGTCAGAGTGGTACTAGGTAACCAAAACAGTATTCTTTTCAATATTTTTTTCTTCCTTTTGGTACCTAGTAAAAACAAATTTAACACGAGCTCTGGTAGCATAGTGCCTAAGACACTTGACTGCTAACCAGAAGGCTGGCTGTTCAAACTCACCAGCCACTCCTCGGAAGGAAGGTTGGGCAGTCTACTTCCGTAGTGATACCATCTCGGAAACCCAAGGAGGGGTTGCTGTGAGTTGGGTCTGACTTGATGGCACATAACAGCAACAACATTATGGTTTAAAGGTTGACGGACATGCTGGGAAGGGAATGGGATGAGAGATTATTCATGAGTTGATGTGGGAGTCTCATGTAATGATTTAACCAAGTGGATAGTAATATCCTTTAAGAATAAAACTTGATAGTGATAGTTTTATCTTTCAGAAAAGATTTGGTAAATACGTATTTGGTTATTCAGTTCATAAGGTCCCTGGATGGCATGCAGTTTGTGCTCTTCTGCTATCTTAAAATTTGGTAGTTTGAACCCACCAGTGGCACTGTGAAGGACGTGGCAATCTGCTTCTGGAAGGGTAGTTGTTGTTGTTAGGTGCTGATGGGTTGATTTTGACTCAGAGTGATCCCGTGTGACAGTAGTACTGCCCCATAGAGTTTTCTTGGCTGTAATCAATATTGAACAGATTATCAGCTCTTTCTTCTGTGGAGCTGTTGGGTGGATTTGAACTGCCAACCTTTCCGTAAGTTTAAGATCTCTTAACAATTTGTGCTACCAGGGATCCTTCTGTAAAGATTATAGCCAAGAAAATCCTATGGAGTAGTTTTACTGTGTAATACGTTAGGAATCAGAATCTGCTTAGTGGCAATAGGTAAAAAATCCTAATTCATGGTGACTATAAAAATAAATGTTGTTGTTGTTGTTGTTATGTGCCATTGAGTCGGCCCCGACTCATGGCGACCCCTCCTTGGGTTTCCAAGGCAGTATCATTACAGAAGTAGGATTGCCCAACCTTCCTTCCGAGGAGTGGCTGGTGGGTTTGAACCGCCAGCCTTCTGGTTAGCAGTCAAGTGAAATAAATATATGAAGTAAATGTTTTTGTATAAATCTGTACAATCTAATATATAAAATCTATTTGTGGTAGATAAGGTGGTGTGTCAATGTGCCTGGACTGTGATTTTTGCGTGGCTTGGCAGCTGGATATAATTATTTCCCATGATGAGATTGGACTTGGTGGAATGACCTCCTTGGTAGAATCACCTCCTTGGTAGAATCACTTCCTTGGTGGAATCTGCTGTGAGCAATTAGTCAGTTAAAGGAGACTTGCCTTAGTGGTGTGGTCTAGACATAGAAAGGATCCTGCATTTGGTTCAGTCTTCATTTCCAGTTCTTGGACTTGAGCCAGTAGTCTGCTATACTGCCTGCTGTGCCTGCCAGTCTTGGAATTGGTACCTTCACAGCCTGTTAAGCCAGCAGTCTGCTTCAGCCTTAGCAGCTGCATGAATCAGGAGAAGCCTCCAGCTTGCTCCATTGAGCCTGGAAGGCATTGCTGAAGCCCAGGGTCAGCTGGTCTCCACCCAGCCTCTAGAGCTGGCACTGTGAACTCTGACTTCTAGCCTAATCTGCCCCTAGAGCCAGCATTCTGAATCAGACTTCTAACCTCCTTAAACTGTAAGATGTTTGTTAAAGCCATCCACTTCTGGTATTTCTGTTGTAGCAGCACTAGAGAACTCTTAAGAAACTATTATAGTTTTCAAATCCTAGTGTTACGAAGAAATTCTGACCTTAAGATATTATATTTTATATAAGATCATAGTATTCCCTTTAAGAAATATTCTGTAATGCATAGTCATAAATAAAGTTTCTGTAATTAAAATTATGTCTTGTAGACATAATTGACAAAACCATATCTGATTGTTCTATTTTTGTTATTCAGGAATTAACAATGCTTGGAAAACCAAAAAGACCGCGCTCAGCTTACAACATTTTTATATCTGAAAGTTTCCAAGAAGCTAAGGATGCTTCATCACAGGTAAAACAAAACTGTATTTGTTTTTAAATTTATAGATTATCAGAAAGTTGTAAAGGCACCATGTCATAACAGGTGGTAAAGAAAAATAGTGAGTTACAGAAATTAAATTCTAGGTGGGGCCCTCTTATGCTCTGTTTTAGAGAAAAATATTTTATTTCTTAACCACATACAATTAATTTGGATAGGTAGCTGTGAATGTATATATTATCAACATTTTTATAATTAAAAAACTTACGTAAAATTTCCAGAGTTATGGAACATTAAAATTCTTCACAAAACTTTTCTAATTCAGCTATTATTGTTTTATTGTTACTGGGGATGACCATTTTGTACTGGGTATTAAGTACAATCTATTCCTTAGTGTTTCATCCTTTAATAAAATTTTGATTGTGCCCATAGTAATGTGTTACACATGTGCTAAAGGGGCAAGGAGGCAGCATCTTCTGACCTCCAACTACACAAGAGGAGGACAGGATCACCATCAGCAGCCTAATGCCTGCTCCTATGAGGCCAGACATGCCACCACCCTCCAGACCTCTTACTTTGACACTAGCCGTTCCTCCTGTGGCACCCACCACCTCTCTGCTGGGTTCAATAATTCGCTGCAGTGGCCACATAGAACTCACAGATTATGGAATTTATTAGAGAAGCAACAGGGTACAATTCAAGTTCAGAAATGTGCTCAGTCTCAGCCTGCCATCTCTTAGCCGACAGTCACTCTCAGTAGCACGTCTCTCTCTCAGCAGTGCATGTTTCTCACATCTCTCTCAGCAGCGTGTCTCTGTCAGCATCACTTCTTTCTCAGCCAGCAGTCAGAGAGACTCTTTCTCTGCCTCTCCAAGGGCTCCTTTATGAACCTGGCAGAGTGGCCAAAACCAACCAATCCTAGCATCAGAATACTATACACCTGAGAGAGATTAAACTTCCCAGAAGATTGCTTTGTGCTGCTCCAACAGAAGTACACTAGGTGGATAACTTTTACAATCAGCTACCCAGTTGCTCGTGGCAAAGTGGGAGTTAAAAACACTATGGCTAGAAAAGCCATACCATGTAATTTACTACACCACAGCGTGGCAATGCCATAGTATGAATGTGTCAGAAAGAAAAGCTTGGCAGTCACTGTTGTGGCTTAATCTTTCCTTCTTGGAATCTTTAAATTGGTAATCGTATTTTCCTTTTAGATGATATGATAAAAGACGTGGATATTTAGATCTCTAACCCTGTCAATCTGAGATTAATGTTTTTAGCATTTTGGTTTGTTTTGTATTTGTAGTTCGTTTCACAAATCTCTTTCAATAGATAACTAATAGATGCCTGTGGCATCTATGTACTTTGTCTGGTTTACTCCTCTGTTGTTGTTGTTGTTGTTGTTATGTGCCGTCAAGTTGGACCCAACTCATAGCGACCCCTCCTTGGGTTTCCAAGGCAGTATCACTATGGAAGTAGATTGCCCAACCTTCCTTCTGAGGAGTGGCTGGTGGGTTTGAACAACCAGCCTTCTGGTTAGCAGTTAAGTACCTTAAGCACTATGCTACCAGAGCTCCTTTTTAAATTTAATTTATATGGACCTATGTTACTGAAGTGCATGCCCATCTTAAGTTGGAATTTGCTTAGTATTTATTTATTTGGATTGCTTCGATTTCTATGAAATTCATCTTATTAAAGCAAAAAGATTACTTGTCTAAGAATGCTTTGTAAATAGTATTGCTCTTTGGCTTTCCCCATTGCCAAAGTTCCCCAACTATGTCCCTAACTTTCCTTGGATTCATTTTAGTATCAGTAGAAGGAGGTTGTTGTTGTTGTTAAGGAGGTTATGTGCTACAATATCCTAGATTAGTACTTTTAAACTGATGGGCTGCACCTTGGAATCACCTAGGGAGATCCCTGGAAATTCAAATGTAATATTACTATATTTATTTATTTAAAAAAATATTGATTATACATCCTCATAATTTAAAGACTCATTATCTAAGGCTTGAAAGAACAGTTTTTACTAGTCTGCCATATCCCCTTCTTCAGAAGCAAACACATGCTGTTTTAGTTGGTTCTTATAATATTTTCCTCCATTTATCTAAAAAACATTCATAGTTACCTCGTGATTTTTTTCAGTTTTAGGCATCATGTATTACTGACTTACACTATTTAAGATGGATATGTAACTCTCTTATTCCACTGTTCAAATGTGCCTTTACCATCCCCTGTCACAATAGTTACTGTAGTTTTGATTAGATTAATGTTCGCTGTTGACGATATGATACGTATGTAAACCCTATTCATGCCTGAGACTTCTAAGTGGTGCATAGAGTTAATGCATTCAGCTGCTTACCAAAAGGTTTGAGGTTTGAGACTGCTTCGAAAGAAAGGTTTAGTGACCTACTTCCAAAAAAAAATCACAATTCTGCTCTGACACATAGAGGATAATCATGAGTCAGATAACTGGATGGCAGCTTGTACACAGCTGAGCTATGTCATGTGGTATGGTTGTTTTTCCCTTCTTGCAAAACTTCTTAGATTCCCTTAAGTTCTTAGATTGTTGCTTGCTTAGTCTTCTTTGTAGTTAGTAACTTAACCACACACTGTCAGTTTTCAATACATTTAGATGCATTAAAACGAAACCAAACCCCTGCCATCAAGTCAATTTTGACTCACAGCAACCCTATAGGACAGAATAGAACTGCTTCATAGGGTTTCTAGGGCTGTAAATTTTTACAGGTGCACACTGCCTCATCTTTCTCCCATGGAGCAGCTGGTGGGTTTGAACCACCAAAGTTTCATTAAAAAAACCTCACTGCCATGAGATCTGACCCATAGCAACCCCTCCTTGGGTTTCTGAGGCAGTATTGCTTCAAAAGTTAATTGACCAATCTTCCTTCCAAGGAGTGGCTGGTGGGTTTGAACTGCCAGCCTTCTGGTTAGCAGTCAAATGCCTTAGGCACTACGCCACCAGAGTTCTTAAAGTTTCGTTAACTATCCTATAAATTTCAGTCTGCAGCCTCTGATTTGTTCCAATTTGGCCATTGCCATCTATGGTTAGTGCAAAGCTAACATTATGGGATCTTCCTTCATTGCCATCGTTGTGCCATGCTTCTGTTTTTCTTGGATTAGTCTCATTCTGATACAGCATCTTCCCCAGTAAGAATGCATGGGAGATTAATTTTTTCATGTCTGAAGTGTTTTTATCCTATTTGTTTGATAATTTAACTAGGCATAGAATGCTATATGCTGGAAAACATGTTCCTTCAGAATTTAAAAAAAAAAATGCTGCTTTTCTTCTGGCTTTGTGTATTTCTTTTGAGAAGTGTAAAGCTATTATGAATTTTGATCTTTTGAACATGATCTGGTTTCTTTTTTCTCCTCCTCCCTGAAAGCTGTGTTCCTTGTTGTATTTGGTGTGGGGCTGATGACATCCATTAGGTACTAGATCAGTCTTTCAATCTGGAAACTCTTGTCTTGCTGTTGTTGTTGTTATGTGCTGTCAAGTCAGACCTGACTCATAGCGACCCCTCCTTGGTTTCTGAGGCAGTATCAGTACGGACTCAGATTATTTGCTCAGCATACAGATTGAATAAATATGGTGAAAAGACATAACTCTGACACACTCCCCTCCTGGTTTTAAAGCATGCAGTAGCCCCTTGTTCTTTTTGAACAGCAGCCTCCTGGTCTACGTACTTGTTCCTCATGAGCGGTAAGTATTCTGGACTTCTTATTCTTTGCATTGCTTATACATCATTTGTTATGATCCACACAGTCTAATTCCTTTTACAATGCTATACATCATTTGTTATGATCCACACAGTCGAATGCCTTTGTATAATCAATAAAACACAGGTAAACATCTTCCTGGTATTCTTTGCTTTCAGCCAAAATCCGTCTGACATCAGCAGTATTATCCTGCATTCTGCATCCCCTTCTGAATCCAGCTTGCATTTCTGGAAGTTCCCTGCAATACATTGCTGCAACCATTTTCAGATTATCTTAAGCAGAAGTTTACTTGCATGTAATATTAATGATATTGTTTGATAATTTTCACATTTTGTTGATCACCTTTCATTGGAGTGGGCATAATATAGAACTCTTCCAATCAGTTGGGCAGGTAGCTGTCTTCCAGATTAGTTGGTGTAGATGAGTAGTGCTCCAGCACTGCATCTGTTCATTGAATCATCTCAGTGAGTATTCCTGGACCCTTGTTTTTCACCAGTCCATTCAGTGCAGCATCGACTTCCTTCTTCAGTATCATTGGTTCTTGATCATATACCACCTCGTGAAGTAGTTGGTCATCAACCAGTTCTTTTTGGTACAGTGACTGTGTGTTCCTTCCATCATCTTTTGATGCTTCTAGCATCATTCAGTATTTTGCCCATTAGAATCTTTCAGTATTGCAACCTGAGGCTTGAATTTTTTTCTTCACTTCTTTCAGCTTGAGAAATGCCAAATGTGTCTTCCCTTTTGGTTTTCTAACTCCTGGTCTTTGTACATTGCCTTATAATAATTCACTTTTTGAGCTGCTCTTTGAAATGTTCTGTTCAGCTCTTTTGTCATTTCTTCCATTTCCTTTAGCTACTCCCTGTTCAAGAGCAAGTTTCAGAGTCTCTTCTGACATTCATTTTGATCTTTTCTTCCTTTCCTATCTTTTTAATGACCTTTTGCTTTCTTCATGTATGATGTTCTTGATGTCATCCAACAATTAGTCTGATTTTTGGTCATTGGGATTCAGTGTGTCAAATCTATTCCAGATGATCTCTGAATTCAGGTTGGGATATTATCAAGGCCATATTTTGGCTCTTGAGTACTAGTTTTAATTGTCTTTAGCTTCAACTTGAATTTCCATATGAGCAGTTGATTGTCGGTTCCCCATTCAGCTCCTGGCCTTGTTTTGGCTGAAGATACTGAGCTTGTTTGTCTCCTCTTCACAGATGTAGTCGGTCTAACTCTTGTGTATACCATCTGTCCAGGTCCATGTGTTTAGCTGCTGTTTATATTGTTGAAAAAAGGTATTTGCAAGGATAAGTTATTGGCCTTGCAAAATTCTGTCATGCGATCTCCAGCACCATTTCTGTCACCAAGGCCCTATATTCCAACTGCCGGTGATTCTTTTTATGTTTCCAACTTTTGCGTTCCGATTACCAGTAATAATCAACACATCTTGATTGCATGTTTGGTCAATTTCAGACTGCGAAAGTTAGTAAAAATCTTCAGTTTCCTCATCTTTGGCTTTGGTGGTTGGTGCATAAATATGACTAATAGTAGTATTAACTGGTCTTCCTTGTAGGTGTATATTATCCTATCACAGACAGCATTGTTCTTCAGAATAGATCTTGAAACATTCTTTGTGACACTGAATGCCATACCATTCCTCTTCAGTTTGTCATTCCCAGCATTATGGGCCATGGGCTTGTCTGATTTAGAATGGCCAAAAACAGTCCATTTTAGCTCACTAATGCCTAGGATATTGATCTTTATGCATTTCATTTCATTTTTGACAGCTTCTAATTTTCCTAGATTCATACTTTATACATTCCATGTTCTGATTATTAATGAATGCTTGTAGCTGTTTCTTCCCATTTTGACACATGCCACATCAGCAGATGGGTCCCCAAAGTTTTACTCCATCCATGTCATTAATATCGACTCTACTCTGAGGAGGCAGCTGTTCCCTAGTCATATTTTGAATGCCTTCTGACTTGAGGGGTTCGTCTTCTGGCACTGTATCAAACAATATTTCAGTGCTATTCATAAGGTTTTCACTGGCCAATTTGAGAAGTGGATGGCCTCTTTCTTCTTTGAGTCTGTCTTAGTCTGGAAGCCACACTGAAACCTGCCTACTGTGGGTGAACCTGCTGCTATTTGAAATACCGGTGGCATAGTCTCCAGCCTGACAACAACATGCAAGCCACCACAGTACAACAAACTGATACACAAGTAGTGGAATTTTACGCCTTAAAGGAACTAGAGAAAAAAGAGCTAACAAAGCCCAAAGTTACCTGATAGAAGGAGCAGAGATAAAGAATAGAAAAACATTAAAGAGAATCAGAGAAACCAGAAATTGGTGTTTTGAAGAGATCAATACAATTCACAAACTCTTAGATTGACAAAGAAAGAAGATATAATATCTAAAATTAGAAATGAAAGTGGGGACATTACAACTTACCCTACAGAAATTAAAAAGATCATACAAAAATAATATAAATCATTATATGCCAATAATTAGATAATTTGGAGGAAATGGATACATTCCTAGAAGTACATAAATTTTCTTTAATTGACTTAAGAAGAAACTTTGTACATTGACTCAACTGACCCATAACAAATGAAGAGATTAAATCAATAGAAACTTCACAATAAAGAACAGGTGGCTTCATTAAATTTTTTTATTAAAAAAATAATAATAATAATTTATTTTATTTTTGTTGTTAATATACACAGCAGAATACCAACAATTTCTGCATGTACACTTCAGTGACATTGATTACATTCCTTGAGGTGTGCAACCATTCTCATCTTCTTTTCCAACTTGTTTCTTTCCTATTAATATAAACTCACAACCACCTAGGATTTTTATATAATCTTTCAAGTTGCTGTTGTCAGTTTGATCTCATATAGCTAGACCTTAAAAGATCACAGTGCTCAAGGCAGGCATTCTTTCCTTGTTGAGCTAAACTATTATCTGATTTTAAAAAGATTTCAAGGTATATTTTTTGTTTAAGGCTTAAAGATTATGTTAGGGTTCACTGAAATGTTTAGTATCAAACATTTATAGAAGAAATTCCAGTCCTTCTTGAATTTCTCCAAAAATAAGAAGGAATACTTCCTAACTCACATAGAGGCTAGAATTAACCCTAACACCGAAACCAGAAAAACAATACCACAGGAAAAGAAAACTACAGACCAATATCCCTCATGAATATAGATGCAAAAATCCTTCACAGAATAGTAGCAAACCAAGTCCAAAGGCATGTTAAGAACGTTATACACCTTGATCAAATGAGATTTATCCCAAAAATATAAGATTGGGTCAACATTAGAAAAGCAATCAGTGTAATACACCACCTTAATAGAACAAAGGAAACGAACCATATGGTCATCTCAATTGATAAGGAAGAGCCATTTGACAGAATCCAAACACTGAACAAGCTAGGAATAGAAGAGATGATCCTCAGTCTGATAAATGGTATTTATGAAAAACCCACAGCTAATATCATGTTCAATGGAGAAGGCCTGAGCACTTTCCTTTTAATATCAGAAATAAAACAAGCCATGCCTGTTCTCACCACTGCTATGTAACATTATGCTGGAAGTCCTAGCCAGGGCAATTAGGCAAAAAAAGAGAAGATACTCAAATTGGGAAGGAGGAAGAAAACTATTTGTTTTCAGATTACATAATCCTAGATACACAGAAAGATACCACAGCTAATAAATGAGTTTAGCACAGTGGCAGGGTACAAGGTCAAAAATAAAAATCAGTTGGGTTTCTACACATTGGCAGAGAGCATTCTGAGAAGGAAATTAAGAAAACAGTTCCATTTACAGTAGCATCTAAAAGAATAAAAATCTAGGAATAAATTTAACCAGGAAGGTGAAAGATTTTTTTTACACTAAAATTATTAAAACATTACTAAAAGTAAAGAAGACCTAAATAAGTGGAAGGGCATTCCATGTAAATGGATTGAAAGACTTAATAGTGTTACTATGTCATTACTACTAAAAGCAATCTATAGATTCAGTACAGTCCCTATCAAAATTTAGCAGCTGCCTTTGCAGAGATGGAAAAGCCATTCTACAGATTTATATGGAATGGCAAGCCAAAGCAATCTTGAAAAAGAAGAATAAAGTAGGAAGACTCATCCTTCCTGAGTTCCAAACATTCTATAAAGCTTGAGTAATCAAAACAGGCTGATAATGGTATTACGATATACCAGTGGAATAGATTTGAAAGTTCAGAAATAAACTCATACATCTGTGGTCAGTTGATTTTTAACATGAGTGTTAAGTCTGTTCATTGGGGAAAGAGCAGTCTCTTTAATATAAAGATTAAGGATGTAAATGTGAGAATTAAAACTATAAAACTCCTAGTAGAAAACAAAGGTAATGCTTTGGAACCTAGTTTTCAATAGTGGACTCTTGGATATGACACCAAAAACACAAGCAGCAAAAGACAAATTCGATTCATAAAAATTAAAAACTTGTACATCAAAGGACTTTTGTCAGGAAATTAAAGAGATAACCTATATATATCAAAAAATGGGCAAAAGAATGACTAAACAAAATGTGTATATACTGAATGGGATATTAGTCACTTATAAAGAGAAATGAAGTCCTAATACATGCAACACATGGACGAACTTTGAAAACATGCTGTGTGAAATAAATCAGTCAGAAATGGATGAATATTTTATGAGCCCACTTGTATGAAACAGGCAAGTCCTTCTCCATTGAACATGATGTTAGCTGTGGGTTTTTCATAAATACCTTTTATCAGACTGAGGATCATCCCTTCTATTCCTAGCTTGTTCAGTGTTTGGATTTTGTCAAAAATGGGCAGAAGACTTAAATAGAAATATCACCAAGGAAAATATACAAGTGGCCAGCAAGCACATGAAAAGATGTTTGGTGTCATTAGGGAGACAGACATCCACACCATATTGAGATACCACTTTACCTTCATAAGGATGGCTGTGATAAAAGCGAAATAGAAAATAAGAGGTATTGACAAGGATTTGGAGAAATTGTAACCCTTTATTATTACTGGTGGGAATAGAAAATAGTACAGCTACTGTGGAAAACAATTTGACAGCTCATCAACATACTAAACGTAGAACTACTGTGTGACCCCGCGATTCCAATCCTAGGCATATACCCAAAAGAATTAAAGGCAGGAACTCAAAACAGAAACTTGTACACCAGTGTTCATTGCAGCACAGTAGTCAAAAAGTGGAAACAATCTGAATATCCATCTGCAGGTGAATGAATAAACAAAATGTATATATACTGAATGGAATATTACTCAGCTATAAAGAGAAATGAAGTCCTGATACATGCAACACATGGACGGACTTTGAAAACATTATGCTGTGTGAAATAAATCAGTCAGAAATGGATGAATATTTTGTGAGCTCACTTGTCTGAAACAGGCAAGTGTATTGAGACCAAAATTTATTCATGATTACCAGAAGTGGGAGGGAGGTTGAAAGGGGAAGTTATTGCTTAGGGTGCACTGAGTTTCCATTAGTGGTGGTGGTAGAATAATTTGGAAACTGTCTGATGGTTGTACAACAGGATGTATGTAGTCAATATCATGGAATGTACAAGAAAGAAAATGAATTTATAAACATTTTGTGTTGTTTATATGTATATATCTGCAATCAAAATAGGATAAGTACCTTTATTCAATTTATTTTTGTAAATTTTAACAGTTAATAGTTTAAAGAGAAAATATGTTAAGAATTGATGAGACTTTCCTTTAACTCTGTATACCTGAGTTTTTGGTTTTGAAATAGTTTTTAAAAAACCAAAATCTTTAATCACTGAAATCCCCATATCCATATGTTGTTTTATAGGCAAAACTGAAGACTGTAAATGAAAACTGGAAAAATCTGTCTAGTTCTCAAAAGCAAGTAAGTTGTATAGTCTTTAATCTCAAATGTCAGTGAGGAAATATCTTAGAGCAAAACTTTTTTTTTAATGTGAAAACTACCTTATATTACTAATAACAACACAGTTAACATATTTTAAAAATTATTTTAAAAATTATTTTTATATTCTTAGAAATATTTGGGGTTTTCTTTCTTGGTAGTTTTTGCCTGATAATAAAATTTATATTTAAATTTATAGTCACTCATGAATTTAGAGTGTCCACTATGTACGTAGTGGTGATCACACCCCTCCTCTATCCTTTTCTGCACCCAAGCCCTAAATTATAATAACGTTACTTAGAAAATCTTTCTCTCTTACCTTTTTCTTAGATTAGTTCACAAAAGCATTTTTTCTCTTACCCTTTATGCATGTACAGCAGTAATGTAATATCTAGAATATATGTGGAGACATTCCAGAAATTAATTGCAAAAATTCTGCTCTAAAGAAATCATTTTAATATTTCCTCAGGTATATATTCAGCTTGCTAAAGATGATAAAATTCGTTATGATAATGAAATGAAATCCTGGGAAGCACAGATGATTGAAGTTGGAAGAAATGATCTTATACGTCGCAAAACAAAGCACCGAACAAAAGATGGCACTGCGGAATGTTAAAATATGATTGAGTTACATTCATTATGGATAGGCTCAAGAAAACAATTAGGTCTCAATACTTGAAGCTGTTGAAAAATTAGAAAGGATGAAGTTGGCAAACATTTTATATTCAGTTCTTTTTTTCTTTTAAGTTCATGGACTTTTGCCAATTTAATACATCCTGTACCTTACTTTTTCTTGGTTTTTGTACCTTGCTTTGGAAAACACAAACAGATGAAAGTTCATGCTAAATTTATTTTGTGCTTAGTAACTACTGAGGATGAAAATAATCCCTGCAGATGCAACAGTGAATCATTTACCTTTATCAAGGTAAATCAGACTGTGAACTTTTTTATACTGGATGATGACTATGGAAAGATTCTTTTTCTTATATTATGGAAGGAGGATTTTGCTTTTGAAAATTGTCCCAAATTATAGATGCCACAGTAGATGTAATTGTGTATGTTTTTAAAAAGACAGCTGGAATTTATCTGGGTAGATTTTAATTCCTAGATATAATTCATGTTGTTTTCAGAGTTGATGGCTGTACATGCAAGTGATCTCTGCTTCAGTTGATACTTTTATAAAAGGGACTGAAAAATTTATAAGCTTATTCCTCATTGTCTTTTTTTTTTCTAAAGTAAAACTAAAAATTATGTACCAAATCTATGCATATTAATTTATATACATAAATAAAAATTATGCATAGGAAAAATTTTAATCTTTAATTTTACATTTTTCCAAATTATGTTTTAAAGAAAAGCAATTGGTTTTATGTACTTTTTTTTACTAGAGAATTGTATGTTTTTTCCTAAGTTATTTTTTCTCATGTGAATCTGTTTTCTAAAAAGTAGAGATTGTGTCTTGTATAAGTTTTAAAATGAGACATACAGAAAGTGAAAGTCTCAAGTCTCTAGACCCTGAACCTATAATTTCTAAGCATCTTGCGTAATGTATAAAAAAGCCAATGTAAGTGGATTGCCAAATACAGCCCATTGAGCAAATGTTATCTGTGGGCCAAATCCAGTCCACTGCCTGGTTGCCATGGCCTGCGGGCTAATAATTTTATTTTACATTTTTAAATGGATTAAAAAAAAAAAAAGAATACGTCACATGAAAAGTAAAATAAAATTCAAATTTCAGTGTCCATAAATAAAATTTTATCCGAACACAATCATGGTCATTCTTTAATTATCTTATGACTGCTTTTGTGTTACAACAGAATGAAATAGTTGCTGGAGAGACTTTGTAGCCCACAAAGCCTAAAATCTTAACTATCTGGCCCTTACAGAAAACATTTGCCTACCTGTTGTTTATTGTATACTGTAATGTGACTAATGTTCTAATGTGTTAATGTGTTAAGATACTTTTTCTAACTCTTTCAGAAGTTTTTTTTTTTGTTTTGAATCATTGTCACTCTCTTCCTAAAAGGAAAAAGATGATACATTGTGGCTCCTTGGTGGTAACAAGGAAGCTAATCTTCAGTTTCAAATTATGTTGATCTCTGTAGTATGTGTGGAATGAAATTCTTTCAAATTATTTGCTAAGGCTCAGTAATACGTATTTTGAGAGTTCAGCTAGCACGTACCACAAAAACCTTACTGTCATTTAGCATTTGTTTTTCTTAGTCATCCAAAGGTTTTCAAAATTCACACCATCTCTTTGAGCAGTTTACAGGGGGTAGGATGACTCAGAATTTTTATGCACTTGGTGTATTATATAAAATATTTAGAAATTGTTGATTCTAGAACTTTGGAAACACTTTGAAAACATTTGTGGATAGAAAAGAGAAAAGGTCACAAAAAGATGATTTGTTATATTGTGAACTTGACAGAGGCATTGACTGAAGAGAAAAGTATAGCTTAAGTGAAAATATAAAATTAAAATATATAAAATTCAGTAATTTTGAACATCTGTTCCCTAAGGGTATGAATACAGGACAGTCTGCCATTAGTAAAATAGATACCGTGGGTCTGAGGCCAGAGTAGTTGGGGTTGGGAGATGTGCTAGCTAGCGTCTATCACAATCTTTCCCAATTAGGGTTCCAAGAGAGAATTCCTTATTTCCTATGGCATCTATTACTTTAATTAATTAACTTCTCTCCTGTGCATCTAGAATGGTACTAATATGTACCATCCTTGAGAGAATGGAAAATCACTCAAATCATTTGCTATCTTGTATGCTTCAGATGAACCCAGGGAGCATGTAGGAGTAAGTGTTTCTAATGAATATTACAGGATGAGTGAGGCAGAGAAATGAGTTACATAAACGCCTACAGGACAAATGTATAAAAATTTCTCAGCTCTTTTAGAATTTACTGTTATTTTATACTAACATATTCAAGTCAGTCTTCCCACATATATTGGGAAGATCAGTGTTCAATAAGTTCTAAAGTATTTGTAACTTATTATAGGAAAAAATTAAAACAAAACCAGAGCAAAACAATTTTATGATAATAGATTTTATTTGGCTTTGTTTCTAAAAGAAAGTCATTTTTTTAAATATATTTTAATAGTACAGTCTGGTTCTAAGTCTTAGTAACTAGTACATGTGGAAAGACTGGTGTGTCATATATGCCACCCAGTTGTAATAATATACATAAGTTACCTATTAACAATAACACCAATAACCAGTGTTCTTAGAAAGCCTTACTTGGGGGCATTTCCTAAATTGACCCAACAAAGTAGTTGCTCTACGAGCTAAATGAAGGTGTTAGGGGGAAAGATGGTGAAGAAATGAAACAAAACGGTTTATGATGTTATGGTGAGTTCCGAGCAGACTTTTTTCACATTTCTGTTCATTGGAGTGGCAATAGTTTTTTTGAAAAATAATTTCATGGGGCGGGGAGGGGGTTTTACGTGTTTATTGTACTTTCTGATGTTAAAGGATACTGTAATCCTGTAATTTTGCAATTGCTTTAGGCTAACTCCTTTTTTGTAAATGACGTTTTTCACGAGTCTTATTTTTTCCTAGTTGCTCTGAATGTGTATATTTAGATTTCTCAGTTTTTAAAATTAATGTTATATATGGATTTAAAGTAACTAGAAAATTCTATTAATTTTTCTGACATTTGTTGTACCTAAAATTTATCTCCACCAGGTTGTGCTAAAGCAGCAGAAGTTATAATTGTTAAGTAATAGTATTAATTTCTCAATTTGATCAGTATTTACTATATTGTCTCCCTTACCTTCCTTTCCACAGAACAATGCTATCACAGACACATTTGTAAATTTTTTTAAAACTTTTTATTGTGATTTGAGTGAAGGTTATAGAACAAATTGGTTTCCCTTTCAACAGTTCAGGAGCTCTGGTGGTGTAGTGCCTAAGGCATTTGACTGCTAACCAGAAGGCTGGCGGTTCAAACCCACCAGCCACTCCCTGGAAGGAAGGAAGGAAGGTTGAGCAATCTGCTTCTGTACTGATAACACCTCAGAAACCCAAGGAGGGGTTGCTATCTACTCGAAAGCAGTGTTTTTTTTTTTTTCCCAACAATTCGTACATGTTTTGTTGTTTTTGTTGCAGTCCTCATAGTGTAACAGCACTCTACCCACTTCCTCCCTGTTTTTGCAGTTTCCATTTCCCCTTCTTTCTTATTCCTTCCTGCCTTCTGAGCTTCATGCTGCCCTTTTGATCTCATGTGGTTGATTATTCTAAGGAGTGTGTTCCTCCGGGGTGGTACTGTTCACCTTATAGGCCTGTCGTTTGGCTGCAAGTTGAGCCACAGGGATGAGTTCAGTTCCAGGTTTGAAGGGTATCTAAGGGCCAGAGTCTTGGGAGTTCCACCAGTCTCTATGAAACTGGTAAGCTTGGTGTTTTTTATGACAGACTTGGAAATGTTAGAACCAATGATGTATATGTTTGAAAATTTAAAGCAGTATTTCTTTTTCAGTGGAACCTCTGAGAATAATAAGAAAATGAACATATTTATTATTTTGAGTTTGTAGAACTACACATTAGTCTCACATTGTTCATAAATAAAGTACTTGCAGGGATTGATTAAATCACTGATTAATGAGAAATATATAAAATACAAAACCATTCTCTAGTTCACTTAAAAATATATTATTGGTAATATCCACACTACTGCATTACCATTAACACCAAACACCAGACTACAGATAAACATCTGAGATCCAGTGGGGGTCAGTGAACAGGATTATACTCCAGATTCAGTTTGTAGTTTGTGAAGATCTTTGCATTGATACTCAAACATTTATTCATAGGTAGTTTCCTTTTCTTGAAATGTGTTTGTCTCCTTTTAGTATCAGAGTAATACTGCCTCCTAGAATGAATTAGGAAATGCTGCCTTGCCTTCTCTCTTATTTGTTGTAAGAGTTTGGGAAAGATTGATGTTGATATTCTTTTTTAAATGTTTGGTAGAATTCACCATTGAAGCCATCCGGTTCTGAGCTTTCCTTTGTAGAAAGTTGAAAATTGCTAATTCATTCCCTTGTTTTACATCTATTTGGATATTCTGTATCTTCTTGTCAGTTTTAGTAGTCTGTGTCTTTGTGGTAATCCATTTTATCTAAATTATATGTTGGTTTGATCATGATAGTGTTTGACTTCTGATTCTAGTAATGTAACTCTATTTTCTTGGTCAGTATTAATGGAGATACAGGTGAGACAGCAGTACTATGAGTGAGAATAATAGGACCTGAGAGTCAGTACAGGCAGAGGCTCAGCTGCAGTATCTGAAATCAGGTGTTCAGTTAGAAGCAACTATGCAGGACAGAATTAGAACCAGGATCATATTCCAGAACCAGAAGAGCAGAACAAAGAATACCTACCTGGAGTCTAAAGTTCATCAAAACCAGTTTGCAGTCAAACTGAAGTCTGAATAAGAGTCATTTGCAAAACATGTAAAATGTAGATTCCTGGCCCTGGGTAGGTCAAAAAGAATCTCAAGTGATTGCTGCAGACGGAATATTGACTGCAATTTGAAAAACTGATGTAACCATCAAAAAGATCAATTTAATAATGAGTCATCAGGCTCCTAGGGTATATACCCTCTGTTTTCG